TATATATAATATATATATATATATATATATATATATATATATATATATATATATATATATATATATATGCTCCATCAGGTTGATGCAAATGGAGGTGATGTCCCTGGAGGATGTATACTGGGTGGAGGACAATGCGGCGCGAACGGCCCTTGGCAAGGATCTACCGCGGTGGATCCAGGCCAGACAGACTCTGCCTACCTCGAAAGAAGATTTGGAAACCCTCAAAGCGGATCTGTGGAGCGCTGTGGTGAAGAACAGCCAACACCAGGACGCTTGGACATGGGGTACGGAGAGTATCCGCGTTCTATTCCCCGTTCTATTTACGCGAAACGCAATCCTCTCTCCGGAACGATAATTCGCTGTCAGATATATACTCGCGACGTCCACCGGAATAGTAGTAGAGACTTCGGGAGGAAACGAGCGAGAGAAGGAATAAAAGAGGGAGAGAGAGGAGAGAGAAGAGCGAGTGAGAGAGTAAAGAACTTCCGATTTTAGCGGAAACAAAATAATCATGATCTCTCTCGAGGATGCCGTTGCACGTTTGTAATGTTTGCGCATTAGCCGGGATTTCTCTCCGAAGTGTTTCGTTCGCGCGCGTTCGGTTGGTCCAAAACGAAGAGAGAGGGGAGAGAGAGAGAGAGAGAGAGAGAACGAGCTACCGGATCGAGAGATGTTTTACCGAGCGCTTACCGAGAGGCATTAATTAAACGCGCAAAACTAACAAATACCTTTTCACATCCACCAGGCGGTATGCTGGTAGTTTCCGTGTCGGTAGCGGGGCTGGTTACCCTGGCCGCTATGACGCAGCCCGCTCTGGCGCCCGAAGCGAAACACTCACTTCTGCAGTACGTCACAGGGAAATATTTATTGCCGAGTAACTGCCGCGTTCATTTCGAGTGGGAAGAGCCCCAGCTGGTCGGCGAGACGATGACTTTTACGGTCAAAGTAAGTAAAACGCCGCGCAGGTGTTTATGTTCGAAAAGCGTGTAAAGCCCGCTGAGACGGCTGCAGGAGAAAAGAGAGAGAAAAAAGCAGGTGATAGTCGAACGACGGCGCGAGATGCAATCTGGCGACACTTACGGTTGATAAACGAGCCGCTAGTTGCGCCCGAGTGACGATTTATGTTCCAAGGCGTTAATTTAATAAAGCGAAAAGCCGCGCCTTGATAATTTGCGCTATCATATGAAATGTCAGCCTTAACTCGTCGTTTTAAAGGTAGATGCGGCTCAGACGTAAGAATGTATGTCTGATTACAGTTTTATCAGCGCAACGGCCAGCCGTACCCGATATGCGACAAGGACAATTTGATCGTGGAGGTGACGGAGGACACCCGCCGAGTCGCCACTCTGATCGAATTGGGAGGCACCGACCCCTTAGCTGCGAATACCGCAGTGGTGAAGTTTACTGTCCGCCATGCGGGACAATATCGAATAGCCGTACTTATCGGATCGTGTCACGTTCACGGCAGCCCGTTCCTCAAGAATTTCCTTCCCGGTAGCGTAACTTCTCACTTAGCCGCGTGACCTGCGGTATACAATTCGCGGCGGTCCTCGTGTCGCCGGCATCTCGTGCGCGATCGCAACGATCTTGACGTGTGTTCGTTCGATCCGCAGGTCCTCCGGATCCAAATAAGACGGTGTTTGTACGGCAAAGTTCCACGGTCGTTTGTACAGCTGGAATAGTGCACTCGATGACAATAGAGCCACGCGACGAATATGACAATCTGTGCATATTCGAGCCTGGGGATTTGCCTACGAAAGGCTATAACGTCAATATTATTCAGGTAAAGAAAAACAGGACGACAAGTGACGAGGTTGTCGCAAAGATCCGAATCTCTTGTCAATAGTTAGTGTCACTTGAAACTTAATAATAAGATATCCAGATTTTTATTCAGAGCCAAGTTCAAATGTTTTAATCGAATTATGGTCCATATTAATTCTCGCAATGCTTCACTTAAGACGAATCTCAAGTGTGATAACTATTGTAATACGGACTTTTGAGATATTCGCGATTAATATGACGTAATCATGAATCCTTGTTCCCCAGATCGGTAGCATAGCGGATAAAGGATCGATGATAGACTGTTTAGACCATACTATCGAGCTCGACTATGACTCTCCGAGTCAAAGAATTCGGCTGAAAGTGAGTTTCCCGAAAGGTGGATGTTACCATGCGACCGTTAGCTTAGCGGGGCTGCAACTGCACAACGGGGACTTCGATATTATTGTGCTCGAGAGTACGTAATCTGACGAAGAGTCGCGTGTCGGCTCTAAATAATAATTTAGCGTTGTAGAAACTCATTATCCAACGAAATTTCGCGTATCACGCATTTCTCAATTTTCTTGTTATGTTAGGTTCTGTCGCGCGAATGGTACATAATCACGTAGCTTCCAAGGACCCCGCCATTTGTTACGGCGCGAAACTGCTGGGCATGCAAGGAGAAAGGTTTTCGAAACCGAAGAAGGTCTTCTGCTTCATCTCGCCTAAGCAGCTTACGATTAAGGAGTATTTATTGAAATTCATCCCCAAAAGACTCGTGACGTTTCGACTATGTCCGTCAACTAAGGTACGGTATGATCATTGATAAAAAAATTAATATAGACGACGATGCCCTACTTAAAATAATGAATACAAAACACAATAAAATTGTATTACGTTCAGTCTGAATTTCAATGCAAATTAATTGTCATCTCATTGATTCACATTGACTTGGATTGAAATTTAGGCTAAATCTTATGCAGTATTGTCGCTTTGTATCTATTATTTTCAACAAAGACCGATTTGATGCAGCTTATAATCCATTAACGACGTTTTAGTTTCATTTTGAGAATTCAACTAATCGGCACGAAGGCTACCATCCCTTCTCGATAGACGACGGATGCCAACCGCCCGTCGAACTAATATCCGTGTACCGCGACATAATAGCCGCCACGTTTACTTTGTTCCTCCTGAAAAACATCGGCGGCAGCGAGACCTTCGCCGACAAGCAAGACTTTTTCTATCACGAGGTCCGCAAGCGCCATCAGAAGCATTATCACGAAAAGCTGCCGATGAAGGTGCAGCGTGATAAGCTACTGGAGTCGGTAAGCACGAATGCAACTTATAACCTCCGTCGCGTGTACCGCATTAAAGTTGCGCATTAATCGCATTTTTTTCTCTGCCTATTAAAGTCTATGAAAGCTACCAAAGTGTTTTCCGTGAGTGACTGGTGCCGTAACTTCGAGATCACCTTTCAAGGCGAGCAAGGTATGTTTTGTTCCCTTACTTTGGTCAATTTTTTTTTTTTCACGAATATCGATCGCGAGAGAGTTGTCTGAGAATCATTGTCGTCTCGCGACAGGTGTCGATTGGGGTGGTGTGCGGCGCGAATGGTTCGAGTTAATATGCGCCGCCCTGTTCGACCCGGGAAACGGCCTGTTCGCGTCGTTCGGGGAATCGCAGCAGGCACTGGTACATCCGAACTCCAAGCGACCACCGCAGCTGAAATTGAAGCATTACGAATTCGCTGGACGTATCGTGGGCAAATGTCTCTACGAGTCGGCGCTCGGCGGCTCCTACCGTCAGTTGGTGCGCGCGCGATTCACCAGGTCCTTTCTCGCACAGATCATCGGGCTCAGGGTGCACTACAAGGTAACGCATAACTCACCTACGAAGTAAGTTCATGAAACTAACGTAGACGCGATGAACGTATCTCTTTTGTGGGTTACCAGTACTTCGAGCAAGACGATCCCGACCTGTATTTGAGCAAAGTGAAGTACATCCTCGAGAACGACGTCGAGGAAATGGAATTGTACTTTGTCGAGGAAGAGTACGACAATGATGGTCAATTATTGAAGGTAGAGGTTGTGGATGCACCTACAACACTGCAACACGCGTAAAACTTTGAACGGAGTACCACAATGAACTCTGTTGTTTCAGGTGGCGGAATTAATTCCCGGCGGCAGCAAGGTCCGAGTGACCAACGATACCAAACTCCGTTACCTGGACGCTCTCGCTCAGCACCGGCTGGCCAACTCCATTCGCAACGAAGTCGATCATTTCTTGCGCGGCCTCAACGAGCTGATTCCCGACAATCTCTTGGGAATATTTGACGAGAATGAATTGGAGGTGCGCGAGTTTGTTTGTGCGTCAATTCGCTCGCGAAATGACCGTCGATTTATCTTATATCGTCTATTATGTATCTATGTATTCATCTGTACATTCTCTCTTCCATTCCATAGTTGCTGTTGTGCGGCACCGGTGAATATAGCGTGGCGGATTTGCGCGCCCACCACATAGCTAACGGAAGTTCTCCGGAATTTCTCCGAGTCCTCTACTGGTTCTGGACTGCAGTGAGCAATTTCACGCAGGAAGAAATGGCGCGTCTGCTCCAGTTCACCACGGGTTGTTCGCAATTGCCGCCCGGAGGGTTTCAACAGCTGAGCCCGCGTTTCCAAATCACGGCCGCGCCAACGTTCGCCAACTTACCTACAGCGCACACTTGGTACACGCTCTCGCTTGGAGAATATTCTTCCACTACTCTCGCTCGCTGCCATTACTTATACTATTTGCACTATTATATCGCAAGAGTTTAACGTCAATGTCTTCTTGCAGCTTCAATCAACTCTGTTTGCCTGATTACGAGTGCTACGATCACTTCGAACGAGCGTTGCTGTTGGCGATCAGCGAGGGCACCGAAGGTTTCGGCATGATCTAACCGGAGAACTTATCCAGGATCCACTGAACCTCTAGTCGAGTCTAGTTAGAACGACATTGTTAATTGAAGTAATTATTTATCCATTCTCCCTCTGATAGCAAAAAACAAAAGATCATAGTACTTTCGGAAATAGATCCTGCACGAATCTGTCCCGCTGGCGACCACCTGGCCTCTAGCGGGGTCACGAAGAGCGAAGACAACTCTCTCTCTATATATCGCACGTTTTGATATGTAACCGATTAGAACTTTTGGACATTTACTTTCTTTGTTTACGCCGAAGACTATCAAGAACAATCCAATCTTCCGACGGTATAGAGGACGCAGTTTCTACCGAGCCGCGGCGACGTTTTTTATAAAAAAACGGAGAATATTCACAAGAGCAATGTTACCTCGACATCAGAATTGCTCAATATTGTCGTATCGAGACCTAGCGTAGTCGAAAAAAACTTACGATAGATTTTCAAAAGAAAGAAAAAGGAAACGTGTACGTGAAAATTACGTCGACGCGTTTCTTCTCGAGGATCGACGTCTGTAGCTGATGGAATAATGGCAGATGTGTAATAGCATAACAATACAACTACAAATCAAACTACGCATATATGCAATTTTTTTTCGCGGTAACTGTTATATACGTAAGGAGAGGACGATACATCTGTCACGCGATCTGAGGAGGGATCATTCTTAGCAGTATTGAACGTATTCCGTTCGTCAGTATTTGTTAGTGCATTCTGTCGCGAAGTAGCTGCATCGCGGCGTATGATTTCCGTAAACCTCAAAAGAACAAAAAGAAACAAGAGCGCGCGGCGAACAATGTATTAATATACATTGCAGCTTTATAGTTTACCTCCCCCCCCCCTTTTTTTCTCTTTCTCTGTCTCTTACCCCTTCGTTCTTCTTTTCCCACTCATGATTACGAGCACAGCGATTACAGTACTTCCAACGCGCGCGTCGAAATTGGAGGGATAATGTGAGCTAATTAGCATGTACATCCTGTACAAAATCGTATGCCGAATAACACTGTATATCACATTTGTTTCTTATCGACGCGACGATACATGCGATCGCCTAACTTGTAACGAAATACTGTATCGTATTTTGGAGGGGGTAACATACTGTAAGCGTCGCATTCTGATGTATACGTATTTATTTAAGACGCAATTGAAACTATGTACTTATAATTAAGAGTAGGAATGTGAAATGTAGTAATCGCCATAGCCAGGCAATTCGTTGCAAGATAAAGCGAATGGCCGACAAGATCGCAAAGTCGTACTACGCCTCGCAGTAGCAAAACAAACTGACCGCCCCGCCAGACTTTTGTCCGCCACCGGATAATACTGACGGCAATTTATTTTTATCAGTTTATCGTGTTACGCGAAGGAAACTAAGAATATAGATTAAAAAGAGCATGTAACACTCACGTTTATTCAACAGATCCTGCCATGTAAGCTCCGTCCAAGTTACATTCGTTTCCCCGTCTCCACGACGCGTAAGAAAGAAACAAAAATCGCTCTACAAATCTACGTGCCACCCTAAGTGAACGCGACGAATCGCTTGATCTCGTTCACAATATGTCGTGCGCATATAAAAAAAAAATCTCCACTAGTACAAAGTTAAATATTAGCTCGAAAAAAAATTTAAATAATGTCTTTAAATGTGTAACATACAAAAAGAAGCTAACGCTCGCCGATTGCCACACTGCTACTCCTTTATATCGCTCTTCTTTTTCTCCCTCCGAGTCTTTTCTTCTCCTTCCTTTCTCCTTCTTGACAAAAAGACCGAAGCCGCTCGCGCAGAACCGGCCGGTTCGTTTTGTCCCAAGTTCGGCTCACGTTTCCAAAGAGTTGCGGTCCCTCGCTTATCAGCATTCTACCTACGTTCACTCATAGCGATAGCGGTTATTGATGCAGTTATTAATAATGTAGTTCAACGTTAACGCAGGCCCTTACCTCGACGTGTTATAGCCGCAATGTGCAAGCTGTCGGAATATACTCACACTGCTACTTACCTACCTACGACGGTAGAGCGGCACTGGACAGAAACGCGATGGTCCGCAGGATTGATGCGCGCACTACGCTGCCGGCGAACTGCAACACCCGGTTACTCCAGGCACCCTCTTGCGACTGCCGCAATAATCGCTCCTTCAGCTCGCTCAGTTCCGTCCTGGCGATCACGCATCACCGAATACGTCACGTCACTCTCACAGCCGCGACAATTTTCATCTCTTATATCAAATAATTTCTCTTACATCTGCGAGTTGTATTCCGACTCGAGACGGCGCAGCGCGGCTTCTCGCTCGGCCAGCTGACTCTCCAGGGAAATCGCGCGCAAGCTCAAGGCCCTGCCGTTGCTCTCGCTGGACTTTAAACATTTCTCTAATCGTTGCCTCTCCGCCTTCGTGGTTTGCAGCTCTCTGATCGCGCGGAAGTGTACTTACAGTACTTAGAACAACTCGTATGTCATGTAGGTAGAGCTTAAGTACTTTTCAATTGCCGCCTGGACAATTGTTCATGATTCACTTGGGATTATACTAGTTAGAATTAGAAGCGAGGGATGAAACCACGAGACCACGTACTTGGAGGTGCGTAGCAGCTCCTCCTGGGCGGAATTGACGAGGGCCACCTGCGTCGCCAAGCGTACCTGGAGCTCCTCGAGAGCGGACTCCGCCTTTTCCGTTCGCGCACCACGATCTGCCGCCAATGCCTCGCCGACCGATACCTATTTACATGTTTATTCGTAAAAATATATTCAGTGCACTGCGACCTTTTTATGCGCGACCAATCGCGCGATATCGAACGAATCGACAAGGTGAAACGACACGATTTATTTACGACGCGCATGATTTATGTGCGGTGCGAAATGTTATTGAAATGTGTAGTAATTGACACTTGATTTTCAGATCGCGACCTCCACTGTCTCAAAGACCGGCGGGAACACGCGAGATATTTTCGCGATGCAACTTCCCGACGAAGCGTCTCGCGTAATCGCTGAGCGACGACGCGATCGGCACGTAGGACTTGCACATTTAGACACACGTGCGCGACCCGGAGGTACGTACAAGTACTGACTACGATTCTGCAACGAATAAAAGTTAATAGGGCAAGTGATATCGATCCTTATTCCTGGTACGGAAGGAGTGTTACGTGATATTGAGTCACCGACGAAACGCGAAAGGTGTGACTCACCCGTAAGCTATATTTCTGCCGTGCGTTGACCCGACGCGAGCGTCGCGGGTGAATTCTAAGAGATCTTTGAAGAAGCGATGGGTGTCGCGGCCGCACGTGACGCTATCCAGCATAATGTTACATCGATCTCGCGAAACACATGCGAACAGTCTGCGATCATCTCGCATTCATCGCGGCGGAGGTAGCTCGGGCCAAGCTCGAGCGAGCGTAGGGGTTGCTTCCTACGCGCAACTTTTAATCGCGAAAGATATATCTTAGAAGACGCGCGAAAAATTTCATAAAAATTCACTTTCTTGACTGTGTGCGAAACAAATTAGAATTTCAGTTTCTCGATGAGTAATTTTAAGGGGAAGAAAATTTCTGTAACATTAGGATTCAGCGCAGCAAACCACCCTCGTACAACATCACGAATATCTTAAAATCTGGACTCATCACGACACGTGTAATTTATTCCAGTGCCCGGAGTTATCCTGCCGCACGAAATTCAACTATTCATGCTAAACCGACCTAAGCCAATGACAATGTCGACGAGGGGCTGCCTCGACGAGTTCATAAAATTTTAACGGACGCGAGCCGCAGACCTCGCTGACGGCCTCGCTGTGAGAAAGTGGAAATAGGTCAGCGGGAGATGTTGAACGGCGCGAGCCGATGTTACTTGACTTCGACATTGTCAAAGACGTCTAACTTCTGCGAAAGGACGAAAGGGGTGAGAGAGACAAGGAGATACGGGGCAAAACAGAGAGAGAGAGAGGGAGAATGAGTCACCCGGTTCGTGGAACGCGAAGGGAACTCACATAGAAACGCGTGGGAGAGTTCACCCCCGGGAGGTGGTGGCGGTGGAGGAAGAGAAAGCGGAGAAAGAGGAGGTGGAGTAGTAATAGGAGGAGGAGAAGGAGGAGGAGGAGGAGGAGGAGGAGGAGGAGACCGCAGCCTCGCGTCTCGCGGCGAGCATAACAATGAGTCACCAAAGCGGATCAATTTTTCTACCACCGCGCAATTGCACGGACGCTATAACGTACAGCCGTTCGTGGAAATTGCAAGATTCGTCGCCTCACGCGATGTTACTCATACAGTAGACCGATTCGTCTTTTTGGTAATGTAATAACCAAGCCTGCAGAGTGAAGAGGGAGATACGGGTACGCGAAACCTTATCCAGAAGAATCCTCTTGTCCTCGCGCAACTTCAAAAGTTTCTCCCGATCCTTGGTCATTTGCACGTCGAGCGTCTTCAGCTGATCCTGCGCGGTCAAGAGTTCATTCCTCAGATTCCCCACGGTGACCAATCGCTCCTGCGAGATCTCTTCGACGCGCTTCAGATCGTTCTCCAGCTTCTCCTTCTCCTACGACAGAATAACGCATTTGCACGAACGTGTGTGTGACCGACCTGATGCGATTGATTTCGCGCGGTTCTACAGGGCCTCTTCGTGACATATCTCTGTTGCATTCTAGAGATAATGCGGAATGGAGTGATAAATAGAACAGTGGCGAATCGAGATTAGATCAGTTTCGCCTCGTTTTGTCCATCAGGTCGCGAATATATACGCAAGTCGACGGATTATAACGCGCGCGGGATACAAATATTCTCCCGTCAAAACGCGCTATCGTGGCTCGCGGGTACACGAGCCGCGCATTCTCGCGATAACGTCATCCTCGTAGTTAGAAGCACGTCACTGAACTCCCGTGTTCGTCGTGCGAACGGGGACGATGTACCCATTGGATGCGCTCGTCGCTGCATCGTCGTTGCGCCGAGGACAGCGCGGCTGTCATGAAAAGGGGCGATATTCGCTATCTGATATTGAATAATAATAATAATAATAGAAGAAAAAGGACAAAACCTAGCTTGTGCCACACAAATTGACTGATCAAGCCACTGATATTCGCTTAATCAATATTTTATAATTTGAATTATATGTAATCATCCTTATCAAATTTTCAAAAGTTCCAAAAGTTATTGATATAAACAAATAGAAATTAAATGAAAGCGAATGAGGAACTCGGCGAAATGTAGGCCGCGCCATTGATCGACAAATATTCGCTATCTGATATTGAAATTAAATAGAAGAAAAAGGACAAAACCTAGCTTGTGCCACACAAATTGACTGATCAAGCCACTGATATTCGCTTAATCAATATTTTATAATTTGAATTATATGTAATCATCCTTATCAAATTTTCAAAAGTTCCAAAAGTTATTGATATAAACAAATAGAAATTAAATGAAAGCGAATGAGGAACTCGGCGAAATGTAGGCCGCGCCATTGATCGACAAATCGACCGTACCAACTTGACATTGTCGCGCTCCAATATAGTCTCCTCCAGCTGCGATTTGTCACGATGCAGTTCGCCGTTCAATTTGCCGACCCGATCGTTCTCCGCCAGCAGCAATCGACGCAGGAAGTCGATCTGAAGGTGCAGGTGCTCCACCTGTTGCTCCAATTGTGCGGTCTCGGTGCGTCTACGTCTCCAAGCGTTCAACACCAGCAAGCGACACACCACGTTCGCCGCTCTGACGGTCGGGTCTTCCACCAGACCGATTGCCTCGCCCTGCTCCGACTCCGAGGAAGGCGTAACGTCCGTACACGACCTGCCGCTGTAATAGGCGCTCCCGCTGTTCGTCAAGAGATCTTTGGACTTGTCGGTAGCTTCGTCGGTGGAGCCACTCTCCGATCTAAGCGATGCACACGAGATCGCTCCATTTAGATTACGCCACTTGTAATCAACAATGACCGTTCGATTTCCAATAGCAAAGTAATATGTGAAATGTCTTATAACTGATGAAGTAAGAGGACTTCCCCAAGGTAATGCCGAAATAAGAACAACTTACTACAAAGACCATTGAAGGTCGTATAATCTTGGAGAAATAGAAAAATGTTGGTAAATTGCCAATTCACCAAATTTCTCGAAGGCGAAAACTTTGTATAATAAAATTAGTAAGTCAAAGGCTTTTAAGAGAGACTATACACAAATATGCAGTGTAATAAAATCAAGCTAAACTTGGTGAAATATTTCCAACATCATGACTATAGAGTCATTGATCATAAGTCCACAAGTTTCGGCCCTTCCTTGGACTCTTCTCAGTATCTTTGTTCATCATTTAAAGGGCAAACTCATCCGTGTATAGGCTCTTAAAGATTCTCAACTTACTAATTCGTCTTGATATCAGCAAAGACTTTTTTATTAGGACTTGCATAATAATTTTCTCACTTCTGTTCAAATTATCAATAATTTTCTCACGAGGAATCATCCGCTTTCTAATTATATTACCAGTTTTAGTGTACTCTCGTTCTCAATATTTCCATTAGCGAATTTGATATTTGAATAATTAATCGAGAACATCTCGCTAATCTGTACATTTACGTTTCTTTGTATGTATTATTGGCTCGTGTTTAAGCGTCGTGCGATTATTTAAATGTCCTAGAAACGACGACGACACCACGGAAGACTATCAATGGTGAAGCGTGACAACGGCAACGTAGGTCGCGCGAGTTTATATTTAGCGCCTTACCGCCGATTTGGCAACGATTCTCTCATTTGTCGCGAGGAAATCTCGACTGATCAGCGACTGAGAACTGCACCGCCTTATTGCGCGCAACAACGGCTGGCTCGGGATGAAAATTAAATCCGCGCTATTTCCATCTGTATTAATTCCTACTTATACAACTGTAAACCACACGAATCCCATCCACAATGCATCAATTTCGTGCTTCATCCTACAATAGTCTTGAGAACCCGCAAAGTCGATCGGGATATCGTTAAATTCCAATCGCAAAGACGTGGTTGTTAATTACTAATTAAAAAAATCGAATTCCATGCGGACGATAACAATCACTCCTGACGGAGCGATCGATATCGCGTGCTCACGATGTCGCCTCGTCGCGCAACATTGCGGCACGTGCTGCTACGCGCGACGTTCCTCTCGACGTTCCTACCGAGCGGAGAATCAGCTCACTTGAGGTCACCGATGTCGGAGTCGGCGACGGGCAGAGACAGATCCATCATGGACAGGCTCTTCTTCTTGCAGCGGGGTGTGCCGATGGCCAAGAAGCCGGCCGGGCCGCGATCGGCGCGGCCGTTGACGTTGGCGATCGTCGTCGTCGGTGCGCCGCGTCCGCCAGCCTGACTAATCGCCGACAATCCGACTGCCAATCGGTAAGGCCTCTTGGGTACTCGTTGCTCGACGCACCGGTACGGGCTCGGTCGCGGATGGCATTTTACGGGCGGCTGAATGCAGGATATCTTACGTTGCACGCATCTAGGCAGCTTGGTGGCGGCCACGACGGCGGTGGCGAGCCGTTGACTCGGATTCCGTTTCGATAGAGTAGCCGTTTCTGGCATATCGCTCGCTGCTTACGCGCTGATAAGACCGTCCTCGAGCGCGATCGAGGATTGTTTGTATGCCTCCTCGTCATGGGGACGGGACGCGACGCGCGCGCGGATGCTGACCGGAACAAATGACTGTGATAGCGATCGCGGGACGACGCGCGAATCGCGGATGAACACGCGATCTTATTCATTCTCAACCAGCTTGTCTCGCTCACGTAATTTGTAAATTTAACAATCTAAGCAAAAGCACTAATACCAGGACATACTGAGAAAAAATGTTTGATATTTGTAACTATAATCATACATAGAGAAATAATTATTACTATAAATTATAGTCGAGATAACTATTTTTTAGTTAATTGTATTATAATTTTAGTGATAGTAATCTTATATGCATGCTACTATTACTATCTTCGTGTTGGAACAACCAAAAATATAGTTGGAACCAAATTGGGCCTAAACCATATTTTTTGGTTGTTCCAACACGAAGATAGTAGTATGCTTATAAGGTTATTGTCACTAAAATTATGGTACAATTGACTAAAAAATGGTTGGGTTGACTATAATTTATAGTAATTACTTCTCTATATGATTACGAATACCAAACATTTTTCTTTCAGTACACGTATCTAATCCTGGACATTTTTATTGTTTTGGTCTTATTATGCGTAAAACGCATAATCTTCGTTTCCATCGCACAAAAATATCTGTCAAAGAAGTCAAAGAAGAAGAAGAAGGAGGAATTTACTTCTGACTTGACCTAAGTATTGACCTGAATGTTAACGTGAGTATCGAACTGAGTTAATTTAACCCGAGATATGGAGATACCGCGACCTGATAGTGACTCGGAATTCCTCATGTGACTAAATGTCCCTTCTTCTTGCTGTCTGCAGAAGTCTCATCCCACGCGACATTTCGACGTACACGGATTCGCGTGTATGTCTACCGTAAGCCAATTCGTAATAGAAATTCTAGGAAAATCCGTTCGACAATCTTGCAGAGCGAAACGCGATTGACGCAAGCGACTATTGGCTGGCTCTCGTTGTTGTGCATCGGAGACGAAGACGCTGAATAAAAGCGCCAAGCGGAAAATCCAATTGAAAGGCAAATTGAGCAACATCCTTTTGCGAGCGTGCATGTCGTACGACTGTAAACAATCGACAGGTAATTGATGGATCGTGATCGATGATATTCACTCGTCTTAAGACACTTGTCTGTTTGAACGAAGAACATATTATCGGTTTTTACCACGCTGCTTTTTATCCTGCTCATTATCTTGTCATTCTATTCATTATTGCTCGATGCAATTAGAACATGGTCAAAAATCACATCCAATCGTTTGCATCACGTTTGCACAGTTGATTCGCGTTCACAAAAAGAGACGTCCTCAGCGTAACACAAATATATTAAGAAAACCAATCTCGCAGTCATAGTAAAAATTATCTAGATACCAAGAAATTAGCTAAGATAGAACTGAATAAGTAGCAAACGCTACGATATCGCGTATGTTTTGTGTTTATTAATCAATACAGATAACAGACAAAATTTCTATCTGAATTATTTGTGAAGCTTAGCAGGGAATAATTATAATAAGGCAAATGAGAATATATTGTTTAGCACAAAATATTATATATTCAATATATTATTGTAAATATTTCGACCTCTCTTTATCGCTCTTCATTGAAGAAGGTCTAAACTGAGATTGATATCTTGTGCTAAACCAATAGCATATATTCTCATGTGCCTTGTTATAATTACTTATTGACTGAATATTGAGAATTTTTTTCATATTGTTTAACAAGAAAGTCTCCTTCTGTGGCGTCAATCCAGATTAAAGTCAGTTGTACTTCTTATTAAGATTAATTATAAAAAGACTAACGACGAGAGACAAACGAATATATAATCCTCACGTCTACTTAAATTTGCTTACAGATTCCTAGAATGCTGCTGCTGTAACTTCTACACATCAGTTTTCAATTTTCCACAATTTTCTAGCAGATACAAAAGAAAACACGATAAATTTGAACTGTAATATTTAAAATTCTATTTGAAGCAGCAAAACATACTTTTGAGCGTACCAACTATCAGTAACATAACATTAATAATGTTACAATTTCCAACAATATAAATGCAATATAACGCGAGTGTTGTATAACAGTTACACTGTTAATTGAGAAATTGTAACATTGATGTAACGTCAGTTGGTGTTTATTAGCTTGCGACATACGATTAGATTCATCGCTTTTTTCGCACTTAGGCAAAAAATAGAACAATTGAATTGTGCTACTTACTGCGTGAGCAATAAGTTACGTTTCTCAACACTGAAACGTTCGGTTATAGTCCACATCTTCGAACGGCCATTAGCACAGAAATGTTTTATTGCATTCGTAATTGAAAGAACACATGATCTTGGGTCGATTCGTGTCGTAAGTAGAGGTAAATTCTGTATTTTACTTTTTATTCTAAACCGGTCATAATTAACTTTAACGAGTCTTAATTAACTTTAACTTTTATTCACATATCGGCACTAAAATGTGTCATCGATCGTTCTTATGTCGCAGGAAAGCATAAACTAAATGTAAGCGCACCGGACAGCATAATATGCTGTATTTTGTTACTTACAACAATTAAACGTTACTTACTCGACCGCCTCGAGTGCGTTGATTAAGTAAACGTCGTCGCGAGTGACCTTGCACGCGAGAGTTTCTAGGAAAAAGATCGACGGAGAAGTCGAAAGCATATCTATCGCTCCATCGCGCCATTAGATGGCGCATGCGCGCTCTCGCCGACGTTCAGACGATTCGAGAATTGTATCAAAGGCGCGCGACGTGTGGCGACTCGTCAGCGTTTATTTGTAAAGGTAAACTTATAATTTTCTCGAATTGTGCCGAATTACAAGAGCCGACTCCACTTGTGCTCCGAGAAATTCGCGCAAACATGATTCCATAGTAATCCAACAAGCAGTGATCTCTCTCAGTCCTTTTCTTTTGCGAGCGCCTTGAGCTGATCTTTGAAAAAGGACCCAAAACGATAAATCGTTTGCAAACAGTTCGAGGTAACTCGACTTGTATCAATCTCTTGATTCTTCCTTATTCACAAGCATGAAGGTTAAAAGGCTTTCGTCGATAACAAAGAAAATTTTCAGAGAGAACAAAGAAGAACGGGAGAAGAGTAATCTAAAATTAAATCTAAGAAAACATGACACGGCACACATTCTCTAACGCAAATAAAGCGATGCTGCGATACTATGTCCAGAAGGGGAGATATTACTTATTGAGGAGTAAACACAAAAAAAACGAAAAAGATAACAGCGTTCGTACGATAGCGACCGAAGCGGCGCGAACTGCGCACGCTCGCTCTCAGTCCGACGCCTTCGGTCGGTCAGTCAGTCAGTCAGCCAGCCAGCCAGCCAGCTTGAGTCAGTCTCGATAGGATAGCCTGTTCGGTGGTACGCGCTCGTGACACGCTCCTGGCCGAGCGCACAGCGCAGTAGCACGCGCGGGCATAACGACGGACGCGTGCGCGCGCGACCTCGATCGCGCGAATTCCGCGTAGTGGTGTGCCTCTGGCTATTTTTTCCTACTTGCCTGGCCGACCGCTTGCTCTCCCGCGTCCCACGTCGCTAGGGAAAACTCCAGCTTTTCCTCGTTCGTCTGTCGCGGAAGGAAAAGATCTCGCAGAAGAAGAAACTGGTTGCGTGCATCTAGTTTGTGGCGAATCATCTATTATGAACGCAGCGCGCACCGCGTGAGAGCGCGCAGTGCTGAATCCGAGAGCACTTTACCATGTCGATTCGTGCAGCAGGCAAGTGTATCTATCACTGTCTCTTTCTCTCTGCGTCTCTCTCTCTCTCTCTCTCTCTGTTCTCTTTCTCTCTCTCCATCTCTATCTCTGCTTCCATCTCGCTTCTCCTGTCTCTCTTTCTCTCTCCCGTTACATTGTCCTACGATAGTTTAATTATAGCCACGCGGCCTGTACGAGCCTAGGCTCTCCCAAAATAATGATTGGATCAGCGTTGCATCCCTCCTCGCGCTTCTCTTCTCCCCCGGGACACTTGCCTGCAGTGTTTCTGGACGTGCCCTCACGTACGAACAGCTGTCGTTCCGGGACTTGCAGGCTGTGTCCGCAGAAACTGTTTTCCAACGCAGATGTTGACTCGGTACACTGCTCTCCCAGTTGTCGCTGGAGCACAGCAATGTATATTGCTGCCGTGTGCGTTGATGTACAAACTCAACTGTCCGTTGAGATGCACGTTAGGACTATTTAGGGAATGTCTTTAACTCTCGAAAAAGATCCTCTAAAGATATATGAAAGACACGATTGATCTTTTTGTATATTAACACTATAGATTAAATTGCTACCGTGCTCCTTAACAGCATGTTTATCTCATAAACTCTAGATACCTGAGTTGTTTGTATCACTCTATATATGTATCACTGATGAATAATTGTATTTTAGATGGCTGAAGCTTGTCATACTGAACATTGACAGTCATGGAGCAATATAATAACATGACTAGTGAAAATATTAACATAAGTGATATTCGTAAGTATAAAAAAAAAATATATATATATTGTTTTTTATTGGCAAGAATACAATATAGCACATCTAATCAATATATTTATTAGTTGAGGTCATCCAAACCACTGATCCTGGTTCCATGGCCACTATAACCATGGACAATGAACAACCATATGTAAAAATAATAGAACAGCCAGCCAGTAAAGCACTTCGATTTCGCTATGAGTGCGAAGGCAGATCTGCTGGCAGCATACCTGGTGCCAACAGTACACCAGAAAACAAAACTTTCCCCAGTATACGAGTAAGTGACAATAATTTGGACAATTATTTAATTATTATTTGATATAATTTAATATAATTATAATTTGGACAATTAATTAATTATTTTTACTTGCAGTCATTCTTCTGTGTACTTACAATACTTCTATAGATTATAGGTTACAAAGGTCGTGCAATGGTGGTTGTGTCCTGTGTGACAAAAGATGCACCATACAGACCTCACCCTCACAACCTTGTCGGCAAGGAAGTATGCAAACAGGGTGTTTGTACAGTGGAAGTCCCAGCAGGAAATATGATTGTCACCTTTTCAAATCTAGGCATTCAGTGTGTAAAGAAGAAGGATATTGAAGAAGCACTTAAAGTACGTGAGGAGCTACGTGTGGATCCATTTCGAAGTATGTAGCTGTTCCTTTATTCTCTGCTGATTTGTATAAGCCAATCACTAAAATTTCTATTACCACAGCTGGCTTCGAACATAAGAAACAGCCAACCAACATAGATCTCAACGCAGTAAGATTGTGTTTTCAAGTCTTCTTGGAAGGTTCGCGAAAAGGAAAGTTTACCAGGCCATTGGCACCTATTGTTTCTGACCCTATTTACGACAAAAGTATGTAACCTTACTTATTTCATCGCGCATGTCAATTTACGATCGAACTTCCACTCACAGTATACATACGCGCTTTTCAGAAGCGATGTCGGATCTTGTGATTTGTAAATTAAGTCACTGTAGTGCGTCAGTAGCTGGCGGTATGGAAATGATTTTATTGTGCGAGAAAGTCGCGAAAGAGGATATACAAGTAAGATTTTTCGAGGAAGATGACGGGCAACTAACCTGGGAGGGATTCGGTGATTTCCAACCGACGCATGTACATAAACAAGTATGTTAATCTCTTGATCATGTTGTTTCTTGTGAGCATATAAGATTTCTTCGCCATCTTGACTGATGGTATCAGAAGCAAAAAAATACATGCCCAAAGTTTCTGCTAAGAACGTTGAAATAAAAACACATATTCCAAAAACGACAATTGCAATTGATTAAGCACATCTCTAAAATACTTCAAACACTTTCTCTAACAATCTCTTGCCTTAATAATCAGTAAATAATCAATAAATAAAATTAAAGTGACAAAATCAGAAATAAATTAAAAGGAGAAGTTGCATGTCACTTTTAATTTTACGGTTATTTGTTGATTGTTAAGACAAAAGGAAAGTAGTTGAAGTATTTTAAAGGTGCATGCCTGATTGATTGTACTAGTGTCATTTTTTGGATATATTTATTTTTATTTCAACGTGCTCTGTGTGTGTGTGTGTGTGTGTGTGTGTGTGTGTATGTGTGTGTGCAGGAACTTTGGGCATGCATTTCCTCGCTTCTACCGTCATCTATCTATTCTAACGTCATCAATCAAGATAGCCGTCGCGACGAGGAAGAATCTTAATTACAACTGAGTTTGCAGTATTTGGAGAACAAAACATCAATATTATAACGATTATAATCGTTGGATTTCTTTGCAGACGGCGATCGCGTTCAGGACACCTACCTATCGCATGCAGCAAGTGGAGCAGCCGGTGCAAGTGCATATTCAGCTTAAGAGGCCATCGGACGGTGCCACGAGCGAGCCGCTGCCTTTCCAGATGCTACCGCTAGGTACAGGTAGGCCCGCTTTCTGGTCTTTGCGGAAAGCATTCGCCAGGAAGAAGGCGGATTACAGCACCTTCAGTAAAATCCTGGCTACAGAGACCGCTCTGCTTTCCAATGTTTCCGCGCCCAAGTATCCTCGTAACATCGACGAATTCAATAACAACGATCTCGACGCGAAAAAATCGAATGGTAAAATCTCTGCTCTGCGCGCCTTGAACGATCTTTACAACGTGAGGAATCACTTAGACGCTTGTAACGGCGACTTAAAGGCGATTATTAATTCCGCGCAAAACGTCGATCAGCTCGCGAAGGGTACCGTGTTAGATTTCGAGAACAACGAAGTAACAGTAATTCCCGAGAACTCTCGTAGCGCGGGAAACGACAAAGAAATTAACAGATTGTATACGCTTGGCAATAATAATCTGGAGAACGACGTGTTTACCAGCGATTATAACAAAGCAGGAGCTATCGAAATGGTTTCTCATGTGAAATCTGACGCGCAGAACGACAGCGCATTTGTGCCGAAAGACCAGATCAAGATCGGCAACTCGAGGGAGAGGTCCGATTGGTTCGACTACTCGGAAATCGGCAAATGGGTGCAGAAGGGACAAGCGTGTCTGAAGGAGAAGAGCAACGAGACGGAGCTGAGGGATGAAACGGACAGCGGCAACAAATCCTTTAACGAATTCTTGTCGCAGGTGGCCGAACTCGATCAGATCTACGCCGACACGCACACTAAGCTGGTGCAAGCAGCTTTGGATCCGAACGCTCATCCGCAATCGATGGACGTGGACGTCTGCGACAATCAGACCTACACCAGTCTACAGATGGCCATGAAAAATCCAATAGAGCTCTTCGATATCGCCGATGACAGAAAGTACGAGGATATAGCCGCGCCAAAGCAAGACGCGGAGATACCCGTCTCGCCGCCGACGCTGGCGGCCAAGAGAGACGTAACGCGCGAAGCCGAGGAACGATTGCCGCCTTTGCCTCCGAAAAGAATACGCAAAATGCCGTCGATGCCGCTTCTACCGCGTCCCATATCCGCTCAAACACTCACCGATTCTTCCTCCCCCGAGGCGCCGAACAAGAACTTGCCGTCCTTACCTGATACTTTGTCCAAGCACTCGAAGCAAGGGCTCTTCTCGAAGCTGTTCGCTAAAAAGACCAAAAAGGACAAGTGCTCGGTACCGAGTCTAAATATGGACAGCGACTCTTCTCTGAATACCTCGTACTCGTTGAAGAGCTCTGTACAAGACGCTTCGCAGTCACAGCTACCGCGTCCCAGTATGACGAGCGTCACGAGTGTCAAGTCTCTCCGACTGGATGACGACGACAACGACGACGACGAGACGCCACCTTATGATGCTGACTTAACCGAGGCCGAGCATTACGCCCTGTATACCACTATGGCACCTCACGCAACCGTTTCCGAATTTGACGAGATGTCATTTTATTACAGTCTGGTTGAAGGCGGGAAAATATTGACGGAAGGAAAAGAGACTCAAACTCAAACTTAAACCGTCTGCTCATTGAAATCGTTTTGTTTGCATACTGCCAAGTTGAATGTAACGTAACGCTCGTATGCGAAAGAACATTTTCTCCGTGCCCTCCAATTTTGAAACGCGAGAGGCGTTGTGTTGTATTGCAGTTAACCCCTGATTGATTACTGTTACTTCTTGTTGTAACGAATTTCTATATAGGCTCTTGACGCGACTCATGTTTTAACGTTTGTATACTGGAGGTTTCTCCAAGGGAAATGACAAAATCAAGAACTGTATGCCGCTCGAGAGACACGCGCGCGACATGCGCGCGCGTTCCCACTTAGGATATATATTGAATATTAATATATTAATTTTTGTTACGGAGGAGAATCATATCTCGACGCATTTACTTGAGTGTGCAGAATCTTAATCTAGTCAAATTTGCCAGTACCTTTTGTTTAGTATGTTTTTTCTATGGTTTTTACAAGTGAGATATTAACTCAGAAAGATCGCGTTATATTTATTATCAAACTATCGATTTGTTCTCTCTTCTATTCTCCTTTCCTAGTCAAGCTCTCGATGCTGTTACATTTTCGTATATTTTTCATACGCGTTGCTTTATTACTTGTTAAGTTTTGTACGGTACTACGAGTTTACGCAATTGTCTCGCTCCACTCGCGTTTGTTACGGACCGCTGGTTTGAAAACGTCCCAATGACACTTGACTGTACGCAGGCTCAAATTGTCTAGAATTATATTCTCTCTTTGTAGCGTAACTTTATATGTGTTACAGGCAAAGCCCGAAATTTCGCGAATCGGCTCCGTACATTTTGGCAATTTTGTATTCCTTGCCAGCACACTAAATGACGGCGGATCTTTATATTTGTCGGATATTGGCCAATTTAGTCAGCCAAATCTAGAATTGGCCGGATATTTCGCGGATTGGCTGCACTTCGGGCTTTGGCCATAACATGTACATTAAGGAGAGATATCTGTAAGGTTCAAATATACGAGGCCTTCTTCTATTTAGGGCGATTATAACACGATGTTACACGCGTCGTGATGTATCCTTGTTAATGTACAATCATTTGTAGATGATATGGATTCGTTAAGACGAAAGAGACAAAAGTTTAGTAACAACCCAAGCGCGCTAGTTTTCAAGCATGTAGCAGAAACCGAGAAGCGTGAGTATATATATATATATATATATATACACACACATACATATATATATATTTGCAAAATTGTTTATGGTCCTACAATCTCTCTCCGGGGTTGGGTGGTGGAATTTTAACAGATGACATCACCGACATCACATTGCATTGTTGTGTCGGGGTGCGTCCAAACTTGTAAAAAAGCCCGTTTATTCGAGCGCTATCTATTTCTCAGCTATCTCTATCCATTTACATCACGTTTCTCATTGAGGGAATCAGTGCCAAGCTAATTTCCCACTTTGACGACTCTTCTATGCTGTAATCAATTTTACCACTGGTATCTCCTGTGTACTCCTCGCAGAAAGGAATTGTATACGCTTTTATACGCATACGCGAACCAGAGGCCTTTTACAGTGAATTTTGGCGGAGTCTTTTGTACACTTTAACACTTTACTGGTGGCCTATTTGGTACATTTGTTAATTGTTACGATGGATGTAGCAAATTTGTTGAGAATGTTTTTCATGTTGGTGTAACAGGCCAAGTTTGAAAGTAATCGCAGTATTTGTACGAACGATGTACAATTTTTTAAAGGGTTAATGTTTAATCGTTCTCAAATCTCATCATGATACTAACCGCCCGATTATGCCGATTTGTCTCTTTGCACTGTGAAAAATGTGCTCTATAATACGATAGAGATTCTACAAATAGAATGTGTCTTTGCTCGGCCGACATTTTCAGTCGGTTTCGAAAAACTGTTAACGAGCAATTTTCACAGTACGAGGGGAAATGTATGCTCATCCAATATGAAGCTTTATATTACATCTAAAAACACTACACGTATATTTTCACATGTCGACGAAGGATCTTGTTTTGTACTTTTTTAAAGATGTATTTTATATAGGGATTTGAAGTTTGTATTTGAAGAATTTCAGGGAGCAGTATGAGCTTGTACATTTTTCGAAATACGATAATACTGTATTTTTCTATTTATATGATATACATACACACACACACACACACACACACGATAATGACTGTGAGGAGTGAGCACGCGATATGCTCCACGCTCTTACAAAACGGCAGCTTGCTTTACTCGTAATCCCGAGTCATTACTCGTGACAATAAATACTTCTAAGCATACGTTTCTCGTAGCTCAAACTTCTAATTGCGTGCAGTACGCTGTTCCTTGCGCAATAGCATTATACTCTGAAAAACCGCAAAACACATTTATAGCAATTGTAACATAGTACAATCAAACGATGTGCAATATTTGTATCTTAATATAATTTTTATAAACCGCTTCTTTTTCGGAGACAGATATATGTATATTTACATATTATTGTATTGAATTACATATGACATAATATATCTGTATATACATATTATGTGTGTATAGTCACTTGGCATTGTAAAAGAAGTCCGGTGTCCGTTTATTCTCTGCTCCCACAAACGATCAATTTCAGATAAATATGTTCACTTCAGATAGCAGAATCAGGTACGACATTGATGATGTAGAGTGTAGTTTGCAAATAATTTCACTAAAAATTTGGATTTGACTCGTGTATACATGATGTGAAGAATTTGTGTACAGCTTAGTGTGAAATTTGTAGTAAAAATATGTAAGTTTGCATACGCGATTTATGTATGTAAGGAAATCACTCTTGCGCTCACCAAGAAGTTTTCAACGCTTTTTCAATGCTGTAACGTGTTACCAGTGGTACTGAAAGTGAAAGCTTTTCGATATTTTATTTCCTACTAACAACTTTTCTTTTGCTATATTATATTGTCTCCTAACTAATTGCTATGCATGTATGCATGTTGTGCATTGCATGGTATTATCTTGCTGTTTGATATAAGTTTTTGCAAGTAATATAATGAGTTTAGTATTGTCGGTATTAAAAACTGTTTTTCTCTAAAGATGATACAAGCTAATTATATATATTGAATATATACGCATATAGCATACATGCTATTGTATTACTTTATAGGTGCTAAAAATCAGACTTTTAATTTTAACATCGTCAAAGCTGAACCAACCGACCAGATGCCGCCATTCGGAGCACCAAGTACAAGCACAGCGTGCGGTTTCACTCTGCAATCTGTAACGAAGAAAGAGTCTAATACTTTGCAGGCTCCAAGGTAAAGCGTGCTCAAAATTAGTGTGAAAAAATCTTTGAGAACTTGAGAAGCCAAATATTTCAGATTCATAAAGATTTGTACTTTTCATACCGTTCCAGGATCAAAGTATCTCCAGGCCGAACACCGTCCCCGATGGAGTATAATAATACCCCTTATAGTCCGCAGCAACATTCGCCGCAATATCAATCAAATATACCACCAATAGTACAAAATGAATTAGCAGACCGGATATCACCATTTGGAAGTGCGGCTGCAATAGGATCTTACACTCTACCTTTATCTGTAATAAATCACCAGCAAAAAATTATGCCAAGCCACCTAAGGTAAAGTGACAGTTCAGTCAGGGCTAAGGAATTAATCTGAATAAGATTAAGGATTCATGAAACATAAGAACCCGTATTTAAATATCTATATTTGTCTATACCGTTCCAGAACTCAAGTGTCTCCAGGACGAACACCGTCTCCTATGGAATATAATACTGCATACAGCCCGCCTAGCGTGCAACAACAACAGCAGCAGCAGTCGCCGCAGCAGTATCAACCGAGTATCTCACCAATAATGCAAATGCCATCGTCATCAATAAACGCTAATCTATACTCGTATACACCAGAACAAGCTCGATTGCAGCAAGTGGAACCAAACCTATATACTTTAGGGAAAGTTCAGGACAGCATGAGTCATGCAAAAGAAAATCAGGGACCAGAATTGCAACTAGTAGAATTAGACAATGCCAGTAAATATTAATTAATATTGCAAAACTCTTCATGTAATATATTTTAAAAGTTTCAGTCGATCGTTTATTATTATTGTATATATTTGTAATGCCATGTGAATCTTTCAGGTATCGCGGCAACTCCGGATGTAACTAAACTGTTGGATATGGACACTCAACAACTAAATTTCGATTATTCGCTAATGGATTCTAATGACTTTACGGATTTTGGATCATTGTCCGCTAATCTGTCGAGTGGATTATCTCTCACCGATGGTATGCAGGTACTAACAGATGGTACTAACACTTCATATATGTCAAGTATATGCATATTATATATTCTCCATGTATATAATTCGAGAAGTATAATAATGATTATTTACTGACGACTCTGTAGCCCTCAACGAGTAACGCTGAGGAAACCAATCAAACAAATAGTATGACAGAGGAAACCAACCGTATCATCTGGATAAAACAAGAACTTTCCACTTTGAATAATATATTCAAACCTAATCGCCGAAATGACGACGAAGGGCTTGCTTAAAATTACTTATTAATTCACAATAAGTGATGCCTAATTAAGTCAATGCTGCAGCAAAGAGTTTTGTGTCTTTACTGCCATCAATCAAACAAAACGCAATGAAATTAATATCCTTATAAAAAGTAGATAAATTTCTAAATTAAGGTCATCAACGCTTGCGGTTTGGTCAAAAAATTTGCGAGAAACTTCAAAGTTGAGAGTAATAAAAGTTACGCAAACTACATGTCACCTTAATAAGAGTAAGTAAATATTCAAAGTTTTTTACGAGAAAAATTATTTTTTAATCCACTTATTTGTTATTTGATAAAGTCAGTATAAATATAAATTTCATAGCAAAATATTAAAATTCTATCTTGTGATTATATGATATTAAAAAGTATATATCAAATTATAAATAATCTTATTTAATAAAATTATATTATTATTTTTAAAAGTACAAATATTAATATCAAAAAATGTTTAATACTATTTTAATAATATTACTATTAGAATTATTAATACAAATATAGGGTATGTGTTCGCAGTATTAAAAGCTATTGTTACTTTTAATTATGAACCAAAACAAAACTCAAATTGCAAGTTATGACCGTAATATAGAAATTTACCAAAAAGTGAACTAATAGAACGTTGTGCGTATAAATAACGGAAAGTACATGAAAATGTAAATTTGCCTCGAAACTCAATGTACGTTTTATTTTTTATTTTTTATTATCTATTTATACAAAAGCGTGTGTATATGTATATTTTAATGAGGACGAACAAAATAGGACACGCGTGTGTGTGTGTGTGTGTGTGTGTGTGTGTGTGTGTGTGTGCGTGTTTTACTTTTATATGGAAGTAACTTTTTTAAAGAAACAGAACTGATTGTTCTGATTGAACAAATTCTCCGTATAAGTGTTAATATTTTTTTAAGCACCCTGTATATATAGTCTAGGTAAATATTGTTAATATGCAATATTGCATACTCAACAACAAACATTTTGCTAAAGCAATAATGATAAAAATTTTGATATTTAGCTGATTGTGATACAGTTTCGTCTGACAATTATTGTAATATTACAAAACTTATCTACTCAGGAGAAATTGTCTTGTCGATCATTGTAAACGTCAGTGCGCGGCGTAGAACTTGAGCCCAATGCCTACGAAGCGATTTGAATTTGTTTTTCTTGCGAGGAGCCAATATAGTGTGATTATATGACTAACGTTAACTGATATTCTGTTTATTTGATTGAACGAAACTACTAGAATTGGTAATTGGTAATTCTAGTAGTGCGCTTTGAAAATAACACCAGATCTGTCTGGTAAAACTAACCGTCAAGCTCACAATAGAGCACGCCGAGAGTCAAATTTCTCGCTACTGGACGAACTTAACGGCATACATAGCTCCTCGCAAAGAAAAACAACTTCAAATCACGCTCCGTGAGCATTGGGCTTTACTCGTTATCACAGATTAAAGAGTTACTAAGATAATTTGTAATGCTCTGACTGTGATCGAATTTTTTTAGTTTCTATTTCTTATGCGCGTGTAGATTGGCCGAAGTATAATATTAAATCTTACTGATTTTCATCTATATATCAAACAGGAGCACGTAGCAAAGATAACTTTTAGATTTCTCTATTTTTTTTTCTCTTTTTTGTACATAATACGGAAATGTTGAGAAATGTGTCAATCGTATCTATTTACTTAGTAACCTTACTGCGTAAGTATAATAAACAATTCTGTCTGATAGCCTCGGGCTCCTGTGAAAACACGGCAATTACTATTTCTAAATAAATCACTCAGCCATTGAATTATAAATATAAATTTGATTTTAATATGTGCAAAAAATTATAAATCTTAATTTTATGCCATTCACATATAGTAGTTTTTTAATTCTTAAATAAGTTTTAAATTATGAAATGGTCTCGCGAAGAAAACCGAATGACAGCAAATACCACAGATTATGAAATTGCTAAAGTAATTTGAAATGCCTCGACCGAATTTTTCTAGCTTACATTTTTCACTCTTATATCGTTCGAACAAAATATAGTCAGAAAAATCTATAACTAAATGAGAATACTACGAGCCAATCTGTATATTTTTTGTAAACGTATGTTAAGCGAACATCACACTGTGCAGTATCTCATACTTCTTACGCTTATATTGTTACGTTTATCTTTCTTGCACAGATATATTTCTACAACGTTATATTTGTATATATACGAGATCATTATGAAATCAATTTTTGAATAAGAAATAAATTTTTAAAATATCCCACACAAAATAAAAAATCATCGAGTTATTGTAAAAAAACATTAACGTTACCTAAAAATTCCAACGTTCCGTCCATATATGTATCTTCTTTATTTAAAAATAATATAGAAGGGATTGCGCATTCCTTTTTAACCTAACAATTTTATTGGGTTAAATAATATAATAAATATATATATATATATATGTTTAGTTCTGTAGTGTAAAATATATATTATATTATAATAGAGAGATTATATATATAGTTATGTGTAAAAAATAGTATATATAAGTGTAGTATATTTTGTATGGTGTAAATATAAATATATACATAAATATATATTTTGTATGTATATATATTTACAATTTCTTCTTTTGGTTCATTTATTTACCATAATATGTAAAATATATTACAAACAGTCAGTACTTTATATCCCTAAGAGAATATACCTTATAATATACCGTAAACCTATGTGTAAATAAATTATTGTTGTAAACGATATCTGTAATCTTGACGACTTCGTATACTATATAAATGTTGCAAGTTTATTAGTCATTTATACAGTATACCATGCATATAAAAACGTCTTTTGTTGTAAGGAAGTATCGTCATAGATTATCAAATCAAACGGGAACACAATACGCACTATAAAGGATGAAAAACAGTAGAGTGATACACGTCGGTTCTTACTTTATTGCGTAGTATCACTCCGCAAATACCTAATAACCTGTTTAAAGATACAACAAAAGGTCATATTTACAGTTACAACTGTATATTTACATAACATCGATCGATAAATGGCGATCTCCTATATCTAGCACAAGAAAAAGTCGGCAGTGTGTTGTGTGTGAACGCTTGGATTACCTAACGTAAAAATGTAGCTTACATGTACATATATATATGTGTATATATATACGACGTATAATTCTCACATAACACTACTTTACAAATCTCTCTCTCTCATTCACTCCCTCTCTCTCAGACGGCATCCGTATTGCACAAATGTATTCGCATGGATGGCGGGAAATACATTATGCAAGTACAGCAATATAACAGCAGTAGTATATGTCTATATATGTATATATATATATATATATATATATATATATATATATATATATATATATATA